TCCTTACCACTTTCTGAAAGTCAATAACATAAAGTGAGTTATAATAAACTCAACGAAATAATCAATACTGAAATAAGATTTTATAGACGAAAAAGAAACAATGTACATGTTCATATGTAACTCGATACACATGTAAAACAAATGTCACAACATGTTAAAATCATATAAAATATGTAAAAGAAAAGGCATACAATAAAGGGAATCTTGAATTTTGTATTAAACATGTATTTTATCCATTCATGTATAATTATAATTATCTTCATAAGTCGTCAATCTAATCATAAGAATGTCACTTGTAATTATATAGATCTCAACTATTTCAATGTCCCTTCATGTCATTGTTTGTTACCCATCTCGAAAGTTGCATTAACTATTGATAAAAGTTGACACCTTACATAGCAGTTAGCAAAAGCCTGCTGGCACCAACGATTCCATGCATTTCATTCTCGTCTGATTCTAACGATTCTAAGAGTTTCGTCTCTGTCTGAATAATGGTAGTTGAGAATCTCATCATTTCCTTTCATCCTTACTTGTAAGTATTTATGTAGTAGCATACCTATAACATTACTTGTGATATTTCTTAAATTTGAATTTCTCTAATAAATATTCAACATAAGCATTTCGTATATTATATGCATGAATCATAATTAATAAATACCTGCAAGAAATAGTTGATAAGCATGTTCATCAGATTCATGACATAGTAAAATCATAGATATCGCAAGTAACAAATCAACTTTGCATTCGTACAACCAATGCAAATGTACATCCATAATATGACGAGAATTCTTGATGTAATAACGTCAAACATGTAATCATATGAAAACTGATAAAGTTTTTTTTTCTAAGTTGACACAAGATTGTTTCACCTGAATTAACAGAGTAATCTTCAAACGAGCTTTCTCAAGCTCATCGTCTAGTGTAAACAATCTGAAATATGTAAACCTCTTAGGATATTCATAAATTTTTATCTCAAGTCTTAATTTAATCCATTCATAAGTCAATATTTAGTTCAAATGGGTTGCTTTGAATTCTCTCTACAAATTGTTTCAAATCCTCCACCCCCAGGCCCTAACCTTCCCTCCTCCCCTTCACTGATTTTTTGAAAATGGCCTATATACAATCCCGCAAACCAAGTTCTTCTCCGAGCTCATCTCCTGCTAGTTCGACTAAAAACGAAATAATGCACCGACTCGAGACATACATCAAAATGGAAACATAAAGAAGGAAATTAATGCCTCAAATATAGTGAAAGAGGGATACCTACCTTTTAGTCTCTCTTCGAAGCTTCCAATCGTGAGTTGTAGGTCATGCAATTGCGACTGCTACAGTGCTAGATAGCAGGAGCATTCCACTGAGGGAAACCGAAACAGGGAGATGGGAGAATGAGGGAAATGCAACATTTATTTTTCAACCCCCACGACTGCATGTTGTGTGGATAGGTTGGTTGGGAACAGTGGCAGGGAAAAAGTGAATTTGATTTAGGTTTTAATTTATATTTTAATTATTCTTATTTTTGTAACAATTTTTATATCCCTCTACATTTACAATTCATGCATAGTTTTATATATCAAATTGATCGATATGATGTTTATAATTTTATAGAATTGTTTTGGTTGAATTATTAGGGATGGGAAATTTGGAGTATGTTTAATAAGCAAAATTTTATCAGATTTCTTGACATTGGGTGTTACACTTATACACAAATTTTTGGTGGATGTAAAAATTTTAGGCTTAGGACTAAGACTTAAGATTGGGATGGTTAGGTATTAAATTGGTGGAAGATATAAATTTGGTAATAGGGAATACAAATCTCTTAAAATTTAAAGTTTGTTGGGTTCTGATACAAAATTACATCAATTTAGGGTTCCTAAATGAGGTTTAAGAATAACGGGGTGGTTAGGATGATAAAGGCCATGGAATGTCTGAAAGAGATTAATACCTTGATCCAAGCAGATTAGAGATACACCACCTGAGAAGAATCAAAGTATATATCACTTTAATAGGAAAACTAGAGAAAACTAGTCTCTAGTGCATAAACCAAAGAAAAAGTTCCAAAATCAGGTTCTTATAACATATTTATGCTAGGGGCTAGTAAACTCCTAATTCCTAATTCAATTAATATAAGAAGTAGGACCCAAGCTGGCTGTAGCAACCAATAGGTGGGAGAAATCTCGGATTGACTATCTTGGGTCGGATTCCCATCTCAATTATCATCTTTGCCCACACGGAACCACAGGGTACCGCTCTACTTGAGAATGCCTTCACCAATTTATTAGTTTACTAGTTAATCGATGCTTTATTTTTTACACAAGGTTATAACCATTTCTACCAAAATTTTTTTTACAAAGGTTTCAGGAAATGCGGCATCTTGTTTTTCAAAGATAGAGCTCTAGATTTATGAGATAGATTGTTTAAAAAAAAATGTAATTGAAGCTAAAGAAAGGTGACCCCAACAAGCGTGGTAAGTGGTTTGGTAGATGCATCATGGGGTGATCATTTAATCATACACAAGGAAATCACTAAGATAGCATGTGTTTGTAACTAGAATTAGGGGTACATAGTTTAGAATTTTGCTTTGATCTAGCTCGACCCTTTAGCTGGACCTTTTAGCTGGACTTATAAGGTTCTGCAGTGACTGTATTCCTGGAATTTTGCCCACCATTCAGCCAGAATCAGTGGTCAGTCCTGATTTAAAAACCATTAAGCTAGATTTAGTGGTCACATAGTTTTCATTCTCGGTTCCATTGTTCAAAGTGATGTTGATATAGATGGGGATGCTATTGGTAGAATTCAAGTTGGTTGGTTGAAGTGGAAGAATGCATCAGACATATTGTGTGATAGACAAGTATCTCATAGACTGAAAGGAAAATTTTATAAGATGGGGCTAAGATCTGTAATGCTCTATGGCGCAAAATGTTGGCCTTTAAAAGAGAAGCATAAAATAAAGTTATGTGTTGCTGAGATGAGAAGGCTTAGGTGGATGAGTGGCTTGACACTTATACACAAAATGCGAAATGAATATATCTATGACAAGGTTGGTGTAGCTCCGGTGACAGACAATATTATAAAGAGAGTCGTCTTAGATGGTTTGGTCAAGTTTGAACATCGACCATCTGATGATCTGGCTAGGAGAGTATATGTCTTAGATTCAACTTCTGTTAAGAAAGACAGAGGTAGACCTAAAAAGACTCGGGCATATTGTATAAAAAATAATCTTAATTTATTAGAATTAAATGAAAAATCTTAATTTATTATTAGAATTAAATGAAAATATAACACTCAATAGGACACAATGGAGTAAAAGGATCCATGCAGCCGACTCCACTTATTTGGATAAAGTCTTCTTGTTGTTGTTGTTGTTGTTGTACAATTATTACTCGCCCTAATCTAGCTAGATGTGCAGGGGATTTATACTCTTAGAGGATTTTGCTTTGATCCAGGCATATCCAACCAAGCTTGTGCTTTTGTTTTTTGGGTTACATCAATTGTAGGTGATTGATCTCTTTAGTTTAACTTGGGCCTCTCGAATGGAGTTGAGTGTGGTGAGTATCCCGTGCCATTTTGTCCATTAGTTAAAAAATTTGCTTGCAACTTGATAATTTGAGGATTGAATGCTTCTAATAGGGATTCCAACCTTGTGAGATTATTGTCCTCGTCTTCAGCTATGCATTTCTACTTGTAGTGTCTTGTTTGAATAGTTTTGTGTAGAGGTGTAAATGAGTCGAGCTAAACTCGTGTTATGCCTAACTTAAACTCGGCTTGTTTGTCAAAATACAAGCTCGAGCTCAAGTCGAGTTCAAATGATGAGGTCGAGCTTGGCTTGCGGTACTAATAGAAGGGTTGCGAGCTCGCAAGCTCGAATGAAATTGTCGTAAGAGCTCTGGTCACCAAAGAAGCCCTGTAAGAGGTTAATGGTAGAAGAGAAGGAAAAGTTGTGTGGCAGCTCATTGGAGAAGGCATCGATGAGGCAAGAATGCTGATAGTTGAGCTGGCCTGCGAGCCACTGAGCTCTAGTCGGCTTGGCTCACTTACACCCCTAGTATTGCTACTGATCTTGAGGGGCCTATTTGACACAAAACAATGATAATAATGATGACTAAATTCATTTTAGTATCCTTGAATATTAGTTTGATGTTTCATTTTGTTTGAAGTTCACTTGAACTTTGTGCTCTGTTGCTCAATATGAAATTAGGTGGTTGATTTTGGCGTGAGTTTCATCATAGTTTATTCAACATAGGATTCAATTGTAAATTCAAATATGTTCTTGAGCTTTGAAGGCGATTGGGTGATACTATGTCGTAAGCATTAGTCATTGCATTGAAGTTTTTCATGAATTGGTGTGTGGGATCTTCTGCCTTGGGCTTGTGTGAGCAAAGTTATTAGATCTATAACTGAGCAAAGCTGACTCTTGAGCTTTCTCAGGCTCGGCTCAATAAGTGGCTCGTTAACTGGGCTCAATGAGATAACATACCGAGCTCAAGTCATCCTCCACTCGACTTAATAGATTGGGAGCCGACTCGTTTAAAAAATAATTAATATAAAAATGTGCTAAAATTCTAAATTTTATTTTTAAATAGTTACTCAATTTTACATTTTATTTCAAGTGTTTTTTTTATTTTTTATTTATCTCTTAATTACTTTTTTTTTGTTTGTAATTTTATAATAAGACTAACTTGAATTGATATTATTTTCTCTTTTTCATAATAAACAAGCTGGCTCAAACATTTAAATTTAAACTTGAGCTCGATTAATTAATCAAATTCAAGCTCAAGCTAAGGATTGCTCAATCTCGACTCGACTTATTTATACACTTCATTAAAAGCGGTGGATCATTTAAGATGTCAGTTTTTTTTTTTATATATTTGTTTATTTGTGTGTCTTTCTCCACATAGTCCGTATCATGAACAAAATACGTTCTACCATGAATCTAAAGATGAGTCAATGTAATTTGATCTGTGCAGTTCTCTTCAATTACTTTTTCCACTTCATTAATGTAGATGCGCATAGGAACTACTTGGATACTGCAGACAGAGAAAACAATGAAGATGTAACTGCTGATAGGGTTAATGAACTATCCAGCATTGATGATAATCATAACAGTTTCGATGATAATGATAAAAATGGATTAGGAGCTTTTAAAAAGTCATCTACAAAAGAAGGTCAATACACTTTGGTTTCTGAGGATGCTAGAGATGTTGCTGCACTAAAGTACCTGATGTCAGCAACGAGCTCCAGTACATTAGAGTCGTCTATCATGAATTTAGAGGAAGTTGCATGCAGAATCAGATGGCTTAAAGGACTGCTGAAGTTCGGATTTCAATGGTCAGATTTGATGATACCTTCATGGAAATTCATTGAGACTCGTAAAATACATTTAAGAAGATGACATATTAAACATTCTTTCCAAGAGGAATGGTGTTTGACATGAATGATGTAAGTTTGTATTTTTCTTTTTTAAAATTTTATTTGCTTATTGCTCCCTTTTACAGCCTCATTGTATGATAGCACTTTCATTTTCTTCAAGATGGAGTAATAGTATTAGAAATGTTACATTTAATCTTTTGTACTATTCTTTTGTTTTCCAGAATGTTTTTCTGGATTATGTTTTCTGAGATTGAATGTTTTTCTGTATTATGTTTTCTGAGATTTAAACTTGACGCTTTTTCATTTTCTTGGTAGCAGTGTAAACGACCATAGCATGCAATAGCAGATGGCTGTTACAATTTTGGAACTTAACAATATATTATTAAAGTATATAACATATTGTCAGATATAAAAGCTAAAATATTGAAGCGTCTCTTTTGTTTCAGGTTAAGCCATCTCACAAACCTTTTCAGCTTAAAATGATGACAATAACTATTGTTAAATTGTTAATTTGGACTTAAAATGACTTAGGCATATTGTATAAAAATAATCTTAATTTGTTAGAATTAAATAAAAATATGAAACTCAATAGGACACGATGAAGGATTCATGTAGCCGACCTACTTAGTGGGATAAAGACTTGTTGTTGTAGTTGTTAATTTGTGCATCAAACCATAATTCAATAGCAGTTTTGTCACATCCTGCCGCTGTGGTTCCTGTGTGTAGCTTTATTAAAAATGTTTCATTTAATCTTTTGTACCATTCTTTTGTTTACCAGAATGTTTCTGGATTATGCTTTCTGAGATTTAAAACTTGACGCTTTTTCATTTTCTTGGTAGCGGTGTAAAGGATCGTTACATGCAATGGCAGATGGCCATTACAATTTTGGAACTTAGCAATATACTATTCAAGTACATAACATATTGTTGGATATAAAAACTAAATATTGAAGCGTCTCTCTTGTTTCTGGTTAAGCCATCTTACAAACCTTTCAATTATCAGCTTAAAATGATGACAATAATTATTGTTAAATTGTTAATTTGAACTTAAAAAGACATAGGCATATTGTATAAAAATGATCTTAATTTGTTAGAATTAAATGAAAATATTACACTCAATACACTCAATAGGACACACAATGGAGAAAAAGAATTCATGTAGCCGAACCTACTTAGTGGGATAAAAACTTATGATGCTGTTGTGGTTGTTAATTTGTGCATTAAACCATAATTCAATAGCAGTTTTGTCACATCCTACCGCTGAGGTTCCTGTGTTTTAAGGATCTCAGGTTTCATATGTCATAACAGCTATGGATCCTTCTTAATCTTTCAATGCAAAACTAATTATCTATGAACCATAATAGCTTCAAAGAGGCATCCCCATACCATCAACATAACAGAGTATGTGGGGTTCAAATTGCTGTTATTTAACAATTTAAAAGGCAACCTTATTTGATGCTCAATTAATAATAATAATTCTACGTGTGGTTTGGTTCAATGTTACATATACATATATAATGTATTAAATATACGGTGATATGAATACATCAATGGTTTTTGGTAAGGAGTACCAAAGCATAAGGAAAAATACAATAGCACAGAAAAAGTTGCAAAGAATCCATTTTGGCCGTATAGCCTAAAATAAGTGAGTGATGATTTAATTTATCTTATTTATATGTTTTGTTACTTGAAGAATATAAAGTCTTTTATCCACCAGAGAATTTACAGTTGAATGCACCACTCAAAATCAAAATCTGTTGTGAAAGATAATCATTGTTTTGTTCATAAATGAGAAGAGGTTGTGGCGTTCCAGGATCTTGTGTAATATTCTCAATGATGTATCAACGGTCGAAGCGATAAGCACCAAGTGGCTCGAGTTTTTGGGGATTTACTTGATGAGATAAGGCAGGGACTTCCCACCAAGGGGCAGAAGGATCATTATAAGCATCATTTGGGAGGCCTTGCAACTGAAATTGAGAATTCTTTAGTTTGGGATGAGACTTGAAACAATTTAAAAATTAATGCTAAAAATTATGACGAGGAATACTATGATGAATTATTTTTATATTTTATCTTCCGCTAATATCAAGATTATGTAGCCCAGTTTACACCTCTTTATTAAAAAGAGTTATAACATCCAATTTTATGAAGATTTTAACCATAGAGGCCCAGTAAAATGAGTTATTGCAGCATCCACCTGTAAGGTTTTGTAAGTATAGAAACCACAGTAAGGTGGATTGGTTGAAGCAGTGTAGGAGAAGACATGTAGATGAGATCCAAATTGAAGTACGGAAGCTCCATTGAGCAATCAAAATGAGCTGATCATTTTAACATGTTCATTAGGAGACCATTGATATAGTATGAACGTCTTATAAAAGGATTGATACACTAAAGAAGGTTCAAACATCAAGGAGGAAACAAAGAATAATACCTGGCAGTAAATTTTCTGCTATTTAATTGTTCTTACACAAATGAAAATTCTATCAAACGGGTGTCTTATATTACCGCAGAGTAGTAAATAGTACAAAGTTTAACTTTGATTTCCTTCCCACCATTAAAATTTTTGAAAATTTACTTAAATACTACACAATATCTATGTATTTATACATCTAGCACCTAAAGTTTGATATTTACATTTATAATGTATCAGCGTCATAAAGCATTAGTGTCATAAACACTTGCATAATAGTTTATTTCACTTTTAAAAAGTTATTGATAGTGGTAGTTTTGATGTGATATTAAGAACTTGTGTTGTGAATGTGAATATGAAAGTTTGGGTGTTAGATATGTAAATACATAACAATTGTGTGGTATGTACGAAAATGCCTCTAGAATTTTTTGGTTTATATGTTAAATTCTTGCCTTGGGTGGTTGGTACTTGATTTCTGAAATTTTTTTCCTTGTTAGTTATCTTTAGAGGTTTATGGAAACTTGACATAATGTGGCCGATGTTCCGTCATTTCTCTAATCACTAGTCTTTTTAGCTTCAACGAGCATTTCCATGTAACTTTGACAATTTATAGGGGCATTTGCATACATATCACATTATTTCTATGTATTTACATATCTAAGGCCTATTTTTTTATTTTTTTATTTTTTATTTTTTTTTTGCATTTTTAACTCTCAAATCTTTAATATCACATTAAAAATGTTGTATTAACTAACTTTTTAAAAGTGAGATGCATCTTTTTCTAGAACAGGTAAATTGTTTCAAGTATAAAAATCAAATTTTAGGTGTTGGATATTTGACTACATAGGAATCATCTGGTAAGTTTGTAGACCTTTTTTTTTTAATTTCATCCCCATTGTGCTTTGGAAATAAGTTCTTTTTAGTCGCATTGACAGTACTTTCTCCCCTGCATTATTAAATTGTTACATGTATATTTACTCTAAAAGTGAGATAAATTCATGTATAAAACTTATGCAGAATTTTGTAATTTGCACAACAATTTAACTTTGTGAAACGATTTGTTAGATGTCATTAAGCCACACTTGCGGCATAAAGAAATGAGCAGCGCACCATTTGTATGCGCCATTCCATGTTTGATGGTGAGTATGCAATTGAAAGAGGCCTTTACAATGGTGTAACTGCTATTCAGTTTACTTTCTCACTTTGACTTCAACATTTCTGGGTTCTGGAGTTTTAGGTGGAAGACAAATTCAACAGATGGCTATTACAATTTTGGAACTTAACAATATACTATTCAAGTACATAAAATATTGTCAGATATAAAAGCTAAAATATTGAAGCGTTTCTTTTGTTTCTGGTTAAGCCATCTCACAAACCTTTTCAGCTTAAAACGATGACAATAACTAATGTTAAATTGTTAATTTGGACTTAAAATGACTTTGGCATATTGTAAATGATCTTAATATGTTAGAATTAAATGAAAATATGAAACTTAATAGGACACAATAAAGAAGAAGGATTCATGTAGCCGAACCTACTTAGTGAGATAAAGACTTATTGTTTTGATTGTTGTAGTTGTTAATTTGTGCATCAAACCATAATTCAATAGCAGTTTTGTCATATCCTACCGTTGTGGTTCCTGTGTTGTAAGGATCTCAGGTCTCATGAGCCATAACAGCTATGGATCCTTCCTAATCCTTCAATGCAAAACTAATGATCTATGAACCATAACAGCTCCAAGAAGGCACCCCCATATCATCAACATAACAGAGTATGCGGGGTTCAAATTGCGGACTTTTAACAATTTAAAAGGCAACCTTATTTGATGCTCAATCAATAATAGCAATTCTATGCGTGGTTTGATTCAATGTTATATATACATATATAATGTATTAAATATATGGTGATATGAATACATCAACGGTTTTTGGTAAGGAGTACCAAAGCAAAAGGAAAAATACAATAGCACAGAAAATGTTGCAAAGAAACCATTTCAGTCGTATAGCTTAAAACCCAGTGAAAATAAGTGAGTGATGATTGATTTTTATCTGACTTACATCTCTTGTTACATGAAGAATATAAAATATTTTATCCACCAGAGAATTTACAGTTGAATGCACCACTCAAAATCAAATTCTGTTGTGAAAGATCATCATTGTTCTGTCATAAATGAGAAGAGGTTGTGGCGTTCCAAGATCTTGTGTAATATTCTCAATGATGTATCAACAGTCGAAGCGATAAACACCAAGTGGCTTGAGTTTTTTGGGATTTACTTGATGAGATAAGGCGGGGACTTCCACCAAGGGGTAGAAGGATCATTATAAGCCTTTGGGAGGTCTTGCAACTGAAATTGAGAATTCTGTAGTTTGGGACGAGACGTGAAGCAATTTAAAAATTAATGCTAAAATTTATGATGAGGAATAGTATGATGAATTATTTTTAAGTTTTATCTTCCGCTAATATCAAGATGACGTAAACCCAGTTTACACTGCTTTATTAAAAAGAGTTGTAATATCCAATTTTTTGAAGATTTTAACCATAGAGGCCTAGTAAAATGAGTTACTGCAGCATACTCCTGTAAGGTTTTGTAAAGATAGAAACCACAGTAAGGTAGATTGGCTGAAGCAGTGTAGGAGAAGACATGTAAATGAGATCCAAATTGAGATACGGAAGCTCCATTGAGCAATAAAAATGAGCTGATCATTTTAACATGTGCATTAGGAGACCATTGATATAGTATGAACGTCTGTTCTTCTAAAGAAGGGTCAAACATCAACGAGGAAACAAAGAATAATACCTGGCAGTAAATTTTCTGCACTTTAATTATTCTTAAACAAATGCAAATGCCATAAAACGGGTGTCTTACTTATTTTACCGCAGACTAGTAAATAGTCAGGGATAGTAGTACAGAGTTTAACTTTGATTTCCCTCCCACCATTAAAATTTTTGAAAATTTACTTTCATACTTCACAATATCTATGTATTTTTACATCTAGCACCTAAAGTTTGATATTTACATTTATAATGTATCAGCGTCATAAAGCATTAGTGTCATAAACACTTGCATAATAGTTTATTTCACTTTTAAAAAGTTATTGATAGTGGTAGTTTTGATGTGATATTAAGAACTTGTGTTGTGAATGTGAATATGAAAGTTTGGGTGTTAGATATGTAAATACATAACAATTGTGTGGTATGTACGAAAATATCCCTAAAATGTTTTGGTTTATATGTTAAATCCTTGCATTGGGTGGTTGGTACTTGATTTCTGAATTTTTTTTCCTTGTTAGTTATCTTTCGAGGTTTATGGAAACTTGACATCATGTGGCCAATGTTCCATCCTTTCTCTAATCACTAGTCTTATTAGCTTCAACGAGCATTTCCATGCAACTTTGACAATTTATAGGGGCATTTGCATACATATCACATTATTTCTATGTATTTACATATTTAAGGCCTTTTTTTTTTTGTGCATGTTTAACTCTCAAATCTTTAATATCACATTAAAAACGTTGTATTAACTAACTTTTTAAAAGTGAGATACACCTTTTTCTAGAACAGGTAAATTGTTTCAAGTATAAAAATCAAATTTTAGGTGTTGGATATTTGACTACATAGGAATTATCTGCTAAGTTTGTAATTTTTTTTTTTTTTTTTTCATCCCTATTGTGGTTTGGAAATAAGTTCTTTTTAGTCGCATTGGCAGTACTTTCTCCCCAGCATTATTAAATTGTTACATGTATATTTACTCTAAAAGTGAGATAAATTCATGTATAAAACTTATGCAGAATTTTGTACTTTGCACAACAATTTAACTTTGTGAAACTATTTGTTAGATGTCATTAAGCCACACTTGTGGTATAAAGAAATGAGCAGCGCACTATTTGTTTGCGCCATTCCATGTTTGAAGGTGAGTATGCAATTGAAAGAGCCCTTTACAATGGAGTAACTGCTATTCAGTTGACTTTCTCACTTTGACTTCAACATTTCTGGGTTCTTGAGTTTTAGGTGGAAGAGAAATTCAACAGTTCATCCAGGCATGCCCAACAGATGAGAGGAATAGATGAACCATAATTATTTTGTTGTTGTTTATTATTATTATTTTGTAATTGTAGGCGCATGTATGTTAAGAAGTGCATATTTCGATTGAATGGATGCTTTATTTTGTTTCATAAAGTGGATTTGGAGTCTAGTAGCTCTATGATTTTAATGGAAACAAAATGCACATGTTCTTTTGATAATGCTATGTGAATTTGCTAGAATAAGTTATGTTTGAGACATCGAGTGGAGGTCACCTTGAACATAACACCGTATGGCTTTCATTTCCAATGTGTTGTTGGTTGATATTATGTTACTATTCATGCTAAAAATTTAAAAATGCTTCTACCAATCATCATTATGTATGGAGTAGCGCCATGTACTCATAAGCATTAAAATTATTGCATTATTTTTTTATATATATAAGAATTGCAAGCATGACACCAAGGATTATTGACACCTCCTAAACTTGTTCATTGAGCTTGTATGCATCATGAAGCCTTAATAATGTCCTTGCATACTTGAGATGATATTCCAAGAAGTGTTAGGTTGAACAAGCTCTTATCCAAAAGCATGTCATCATAATTTAAGGCTAGAGATAGGGGGAATGAATCAAGGCGGGCAAGCAAGCTTTAAATAAATTTTATGAAGAAAGATATTTGTCATTTGAACGTCTAACTCATCTTCTTTGGAAGAGTCATCTATCACCTTTGTAGACATCAGGCAGCTAATGATCAATGACTCTCAAAATAATGCAATCTTTATCATTATATTATTGTCTAATTATTAAATTAAAATCATCCTAATTGATATAAAAAAAAGTTAGAAATAATAATAACTCTCAGCTTATCTTTGATCAAATGTGAATTGCTCCTTGATTGACACTTATTATTGGGGCATATTGTTATTTCTTTGGTGAGTGTGAGATTAAATGCGTCATCAGGAAATATTTATCATCTGACATGAATCTCAAGTTATTTTTTAGTAAGAAATTTTCAGGTTCAAATTCAATATCATCCAAGGCTCCAATGTCAACAAGTTTAGTCAGACAAGCTGACTCGACAAGACAGTTGATGAAAACAAAAGTGGTTCGATTTGAATCTAACCAAACCTAATCAAGCCATTAAAGTGCTTTTTGAGGATTTGGGTTATCAATTAAATAGTCAAATGAACTTCAAAATTGGCATTTATATTGAAATCAAGCTTCTCAATTAGAGGGATCCAACACGTCTAAGCTCTCTTAATTCTGGGATATTTAAGGCCCCCAAATCATTAAAAAAATCTTATGATTAAAAGGACTCAACATAGGCCATCCGATTAGATATTTAAGTTGTTCGCCAAAGAACCAAAAATGCCCCACCCAAAGGGTTTTATAAATGACCTCTCTTCAATTGAGAGGGAAGGGAAAGAAGAAATTCTAGAACCTATTCTGGATTGCAAATCCAAAGATAACTTTTGGCCTATGTAGCCACTGACCCCATTATCAATCTTTTGTCAGTCGTCGTCAACCACCACATACAGCCACTACTCGCTACTCTCATGGATTTTTTCTTTCTACTAATGTATCCCAAATACAATTGTAACATACAACATTGCACTAAAGACTCGATGATAACTTTCAGTTTCTATAGTTGTATACCACCATTAATTATCACTTGTTGGCCGCCATCGACCATCGTCGACTGCTCTTGCTGGTCGTCATTTGCAACCCTTGCTTGATAATGTTTTATTTGAAATATGACTCAAACTTATGGTGCACTATTGAAGATCCGATGATAACATCCAACGACAACTACTTACAACAACAATATTTTGAATTTGACAATTCTTTCGAGACTTCTGAAATTTGTCTATACATTGTATACAGACAAGTGTTGCATTTGACATAAAATTTTAACTATTCTCCCAATTATGAGAAAAAGGTATATTTTTACACTTACGTATATTGGATTACTTTAATTGGGCTAAGCCCCGTAATTTTTTTCAATTTATGGGTTTTTTGTATAAAAAATCTTGGTGTCTTCTCCTGCTAGCTTTTCTAGTCTATCTGTGTACCAGATTTTCATGCAACGGTAAAACATTAAATAATCGTTCTATCATTGTGAATTTTCTGGCAAATAGGAAATGAAGTCTTCTTGATAGAAGTCTGCACTTCATGATGACAAACATGAGTAATACATGAACTTATCCCTCTAACACCTATCATTCTAGGGTGCAATCTCAAAGTTCTGAATGTCAAGCCTCTTCATTTTATCCTAGTGATACACATCATCCCACTGAAGAAGGAACCACCTTAACACCGCTTGAAGGCCATGTATGAAAGATGGATGAGTATCCAAATAAGATCCTTCAACTTTTACACGAGGCTCGAAAACTGACGGTTGTGCTTACTTGAGGGACACTACTACCTCGAAATCTATCGATCAAAGGTGCACAGTTGACACCCACTCCATACACTGAAGTTTCTCTTAAGGAACCTGAACTCCTATACATTGTTAACTCTATGTCTTCACCTCTTATAGCAAGCCTAGAAACAAGCCTCCAACAACTTATTTTTGGTTCTGTTTTTAAAACTCAAAGTAACCAGTTTATCTATCTATATATATATATATATATATATGTCATCACGTATGATTCCCTTTTTCAAATAAATCTCCCTCTTCGATCATATAAATAGCCCAAAGAGGAGAGGAATTAGAAAAGACATGATATACGATGAAAATAGATAAATAAACTTAAAAAGAAACATGGAAGACTTATGTACGACAATCCTCGCATGACAGGTCAAGAGTATACGTCCAAACAAGATCGATCGAAATACCGCAAAACATGGTATCCATGAAGGAAATATCTAAATAAGCTACCCATAACAAGAGAACCAAAAAGAATATTTTTGTTCTGGGGTCAAGAGCACTCCCAAGGGAATGTATCTCTTTGGTTAATTACAACTTGGGGTATACCTAAGAATATTCTCAATAAAAGGGGTCTTGCTTACATTATTGTGAAAAGTAGTAAATAGGTCACCAAAATGATGGTTATTTCGACTAGGAGCATTTTGAAGCCTTCAATGCTCTCGCTAAGCCACATAGCAAAGAGTGAGTCTCTCACATCCCAAATGGGTAGCGGTTCATCAACATACATGGCCTAAGAAATAACCAACTTGACTCATAAGACCCACATTATGCTTCCAGGGCCTAATCTGGCCATGAGGGGAGAGGGTGAATCACCGTATCCCAAATGGGCGGCAGCCTATCCACAACTGGGGTCTACGAGAAGATATCAACGAAGTCACAAAGAATGAATGGGCTAAAAAAGGGCTCAACAAATGAGGGGTATAGTAATCCTAATCATATAGAGATAGACGGGTCAAAATACCACAGATCCGTCATCCCAAACTATTATAATCCTATGTTTACTTGGTCGTGAAGACAGTCGACCTAGCACAACCAGAGACTCACTGTCAGCAATCTATGAATTGCATTGTCAGCAATCTGTGAATTGCTTTGTCAACAATCTGTGAATTGCACTATCCAAGACAATCTCAGTTGTCCTAAGGTCAAAAGAATGAAACTCTAAATCCTATAAACCTATAAAGGTATAGCTCATAGGGGTGAGACTTATACTCACCAAATAAATGACAGAGATGCCACTAGAAAGAATAGGAAAGGGAGGTACAACTATAAGGCTGAAAAACACTCCCATAAATGACTTATGCCCCGTTTGGGTTGGGGAAGCCTCTAACACCTTAAACATGCTAGACAATCACCTAAGTATAAAGCTTATTTTGGGTCAATCTGGTTGAAGAAGCACAGAGGATTCTCCTCAAGACATGCAATATGATGCAGTTATCTAAAGTCCTAAGCGTGGAGACCTTATTAGTTGACTTGTGTGATATCTATGTCATGCAAACCATTTTAAAACTAGCTCGAAGGCTATGCAGAAAAAGTGAAGTATAGGTTTTAAATAGTTGAAATCTTTTAATCCTAAATTTTGATTTTATCTTGACCTTTTATTATAATTTTGTAGAAAATTTATAGTTTTAGGTCCTTAGAGAGTCTAATTTATATTTTTACATGATTCCCAAACAATCCACAATCAATGAAAGAAGAAGTAGTTAACACACTAGCAAGGTAAATCAAAGCCAAACATATAAATAATAAGAATGGGCGAGTGTCGCAGGGTTGACAAAATATCCTATAAAAGCAAAAGATCATGATTAGGCTCCGGATATACATACCTAAACCTAGATCTATACATCAATATCAAAATGTGAAATTAAGATACGAGTCATAAACATTTACTCCTGGTCCTCGCCACGTGGTTCCATGCCTCAAACGCCTCATAACTCATGCCAATATCTTATTTTCGCTACAGACTCTGTCTTATAACTCTAAAGGTACATAATAAGTCCAAAAAAAGGCATGATCCATATGAAAATTAGGTTAGTATAAAACTATTTACACGCAATATAGTGAACCATGCCCGACGGGAGAATAGCACAACAACACCTGCAAGTAAATGGGTTAGATTTTAATCATTATAGCTTCCTCTATTAGACATGGCTCCCTGTAAGAAGGTTGTCCCTAATATATTATTTTGCATGTCTCAAACCTAGTAAACACATAAAGGCAACATTAAACAATAGCCGAGCATAAAAAAGACTACTGAGCACCATAGTCCTAATCTAACAAACCACCTGTTGCATAGTATCCTATTCACAACTTCTAAGTGTGTACATGCAACGTAAAGTTTAGATGTATGACTTTGACGAGGTCGCCAACACCGGCCCCATCCCAAAGTTCCAAGCGATCTAAAATACATCAGGAAGAGATGACATTTTAAATAAGTGACTTTACATCTGTCTTGACATGTAATTTTAACAGTAGGACATATAATATATACTAGAAAAAATATCCATTTTTATTCTTTAAAATACATGACCATTAAAAGCGGGTCTGTAACATGCAAGTGAAATACTTCAGAGCCCTTGGAACCTTACTACAGTCATACACATGTTGATCGTAATAAAAAAATTTACATTGCACATTGAAATATGCTCGCGAGCAATGTTTGTTTAAGTATTACGACCAACAAATGGGTCACTCACTTAATAAGTGGGATTTGCCATCAAGATAATTGGGTAATGCACATAAAACATGCAAGAAATCTAAGACTTTGTGGTTGCTCAATTGAGGTACGAACAACCACAAAGAATGCAAAAAGGCGAGTCACACATCATGCAAATGTGAATGCAA